AAAAAATTTTTTACATCAAAAATATCATCTATATTTATATGTTTTTTATAACATATATGCAATTGCTTCTATGGATATCATTATATAATAATGAATCGTAGACGCTCATTCAGAATCGAGGTGAACATTTGAACATTTGTTGTTTCCGTGAAAGATTGAATAATCGAGATCGAATATTTCTAAGAAAATCGAGTTTTCTTTTAATGGAAAAAACTAGTCCAAATATATGACGTGATCGAATAAATCATTCTCTAGATTATGGTAATGATTACGCATAGTATAGTAAATATGAGAAGAAACTAGTGAAAACCGATCGCAGTGCGGTGCTATGGAATATAGCAGCGATTTCGGATGCTAAATCTTGCTATTAATGAAATGGCTTCTTGATGAAATGGATCGATGTGTTCAACACCACGTTAAAATATATTTAAAATAAGTTTAAATGATTACTTAAACTGACTTATCTATCACTTTATTGTTATTAAAAATAATATTAAAATGTTTTAATATTATTCCATGTATTTTTTAATTAAAGTTGGAAAATCGTTTGTACGTAGAAATCTAGATTCTAAATCTGATTTATCAAGAGTAAATTAAGAATTTAAATTAATTTTATTATTTATAGAATATATATGTATATTTTCTTCATATCATGATTTTTAATATTCTATGATAAAGTATATTCATACTTAGTTATTATTTTAACATTATATAATATAATTTTGTATTATATATTTATGTAAATACGTAATTTTAATCGTATAATTCACATGCATTATAATTGTACAAAAAATGAAATTATTCCCTTCTTGTATCTAATTTTCTTATCAATTATATTTTCCAACGTTGATCTTAAAAACTGTTTAATTGCCATTTGAGCGTCGCAAAAGTAGATATAATCTCGGCAATAAATTTACTCGTAGTTGGTAGTAGTTTCATCTTTATTGTATTTGCTTATTTTATTGTTTGAAAAATCGGAAAAAAATATATGACCGCCATGTTGAATCGGAGAATTTTGTAATCTTCATTGGAAAAATGAAGTAATTTACTTACAATTTGCACTATTGATGTTCTATTTTCAGAAATTTATTCTTATTTTTTGAGGATTACAGTTAAGTAATTATTTTAACATAGTGTATCAAGATTTTATCAATTTTAATATTATTTCATTAACATTGATCGATTACTTTCATTAATAATGTTTGGAGAAATTTAAATACTTGAGAAATTAGGATTTATAATTCTTTTGACTTAGGTCGTATCATTTCCTGTAAAAGTCTCTTTTTACTCTGGAAATTGTGGGAATTAGTTCTTGGGAAAAAGTGTCTTGAAAAAGAATGATTGTCCTCTTTAATTGAAATGCTCTATTCGAAATGTTTAATTAATTAATAATTTAAAAAAAAAATCTTATAGATTGCTGTATATTAGGAATAAAAACACAAAATAAATAATAAACGATCGTTAAATAAATAATAAATTCATTGGTTTGAGACATTATGATGAAAAATTTGATATAAAAGAGTCTTGTTCTTTTTTTTTTTTTTTTCTTCTAAATTTCAAAAATTATGTTTCGGATTAAAATACTTTGTTAAAATTTATTCGAAGAAAGAATCAATAAAAAAAAAAAATCATTATGATTAATTATGAATAATTTTAGGATCCACGAGTCTTGTTTTATCTTCCGATCATAATTTCTTTTCGATATTACGATCTCAGGATCCAACGTAGTTTTCTGCCGAAAGAGAAGTATTCGAGTGTAAATCAACATGGTGTTCATTAAAATTCAGAGAGAATCAAGTCGGATAATCATCTCGTTAACTCGTTTCTTTCTTCTTCGTCTTCTCTTTTTCTTTATTTTCATAAATAACTTTTTTTCCTCTTTTTGAGCTTCCCACGGCGACCTTAAATTCTCGTTTTATATTTTCTCGATTCACCCGAACGCAGGGAAAACGCATCTGAATCCTACGCTTTATAATTGGAACGAGTTTCTCTCCTCTCTCTCCCCTCCAAATAAATCGGAAGTAGCTTCGTCACGAGATTCGAATGTTGCGCACAATTTAACATGTCCGATTGGCTAATTCGATTGTTGTAAAATTCAAATATAATTCCGCATAAACATAATTGTAATTAAAACAAAAAATAATTTTATCTTGAGGTGAAAAGTATGAGACGATTAATACAATTTCAAAATGATTAATGTTAGATATGTAATAAAAAGATATTTATTTATTTGAAATTTAAATTAGGGATGGAAGAAATTTTTGTTTTCGAATCCTTCGAAATTTCCCGCCATATGATTTAACTATTTATTCAAAAGTGAATTCTCTTCTCTAGTCTAGTTAAAATAATTATTATCATTTTATTATCCAAGATCGTTTCTAATTACAAAGATTACGAATCCACTTTTTTAAAAGTACCTAATTGTATAGCATTCTGTGCTATCTTAATTATCAGTTTCTTCCATCCGGTAAACGACACGACATAGAATTATTTCCCAATTGAAACGAGGAAATATCTCGCGTAAAACGACTTATTACGTCAATTTGCATGAATTTTTATAACCCGTTGCTTTCAGTTAATCTCTTTTTAACTCGAGGGCCATCGGACGCCGACATACGAAAGTTCCACATCTTAATTTATTCGATCGGTTTTATGAATTTTATTGTAAAACGACTTTGATTATATCGAGAACAGCCTTAACAATTAAAACTGTAAGTAAAACTGTATATCTCGATCATTAAATTGAATGTAAATATAAATATAAGAAAAGTAATCTTATATAAAAGTCATATCGAAAGAAAAATCTAAATAATATATCTTATATTTTATCTGTCTTATATTATATCATTGGAAAGCATAAATAAGAAATTATCAACTCTCATATTTTTATATATATTACACGTCTACTATTTCAAACTTAATTTTTTTTCAAGATGGATCAATAAATGGATAACAAATTAATAGATTGAATCTAATTTTCAAAATAGGATTAATAATTTCACCCCTGCTGGAATAATGCTATATCCCAATAATATATTTCTTTACTTCTGATAGTCAATCAGACAAATTCTAACAACTCTAAACCGGGCGTATACGTTTAATCCCATTAAAGATATTGATTAACATTGTCATTTTCGTTGAAACGTAAAGTAATAAAAGTTCTTACCCGAGCCATACTCAACATACCGACAGACAGACTAAATTTCACATCGCCCAGCAACAACGAAACCGTTGGACGAGAAGAAACGACGTGTCCAGGCGGGGACCAGTTTTTCCACAACGAGAACCGAACGACGTGCGATCTCGTTGGACCGCTTCTTGCGGATCGGTCCTCGGTCGACGATCATCTGAAAGTCTCCGCTGGGGAACGTTAATCGCTGCCCGGCTCGTGGTTACTTTCGATAAACGCAACCAACCGCGATCCGACCAATACCAATACCATAGAAAATCTCAGAAGATAATCATTCGAATCTATCGAATCGGTGGCAACCATAAAAGGTAATAAATGGAAAAGAAAAAAAGATTAATTTTATTCGAGTGTGGAACGAGAAGTTTTGACTAGATTATTAGAAATTAGATATTAATTAGTTGGATTTAGATTAGGTTTGGGTTTAATCAAGTACTAGAAAAATTTAGTCGGGAGAGAGAGAGAGAGAGAGAGAGAAGGAAAAGAAAAGAA